TACTCATATGCGTTTCCATGGTGCACTATTGTCTGGTGCTCACGTGTGTCGTTTCTGCACACACATTCAGTGCTGTCTTCATGTTGCTTGCTCCTTCTAACACACCGCGCTTATACACCGTGCGCGCAACGAACGCATCCATGTGGTACTATACCCACACAAACACCTCAGGCACCATGCCACATCCATGGCGTCACCACACTAACACATCATAGTGCTTCATATGACCACACCTAAGTGCGCAACCCGCACATGTACGCCCTAACGTCCACACCGTAACTGTGCTACGCGCACATCCCAATCCCTAAACGCGTACACCTCGCAGCGCACACGTGCTACCCGTCCAGCGCACGCACACACCAACCTGCAGCGCGCACACAACATGGTGCCCTCTGCACGTAGCGGTCACCGTTACTAACATCCCAAAGCACTGTAAGCTACACCGCCACGCGCTCATAGTTCCCGTTCACAACGTAAGTCCTTAATCCCCCACCACAGTCCTTATTATGAACACGTCCACGCTGCAACTGCCAACCCATGCAACCTGCACCCCTGCACCCCTACATGCTGCACCGCGCACCACGTAATTTTAAGCATACACCACGTGCGCTTACCACGTCGCAACTGCACAACATAAATTCAACACACCGCGCTTCTTACACTACCCACATGCTACTTCCTCAGCTCCCAAACCTAACGCCTACAACCGCAATCCGCCCAATTCCGCAACATAAAACCCCGGCAGTTCATGCACCTCAAAGCGCGACTCTACGCTCTGTCACAATACAACGCCACTAAACCACTACGCCACATCGATCGTCACCCTAACGCGTACACATCATACGTTATCAAATCCACACACATGTCTTCATAACCCCCCCCCCGCGCTCCTTCCTGTACTCGCAACCTGCCAACCATACTACGCAACCAGGTCACTTCCCCTAACCTCTACTACCTACGTCCTGCAGCAGGCATGTGCACACACTGACCCAACAAACTCCACACAACTACACCCGTCACCTCCTGGCGCATATCAGCAACCTGCTATACTTCACGCGGCACACCCGCGAACCTCACAGCGCACTATACTATCCTAAATCGCCTACCTCGTAACTCACGGGCCCAACACGTAATATCCTACACCCGCAATCCTACAAACTCCTTAACCTACGAAAACCTGCTATCCTAAGCCCCCAACGTAGTACGTTTAAGCTCGTAACAACTACTACCATAAGCCCCACAAACCACACCACACAAACCCGTAACCGTGGCCCATAGAAGCGTGAACCATACACGCGCGACCCTTAATCCATAACCTCAACACCTCCGTTCTACACTTGCAACTCCGAATCCTAAGCCTCGCAGCTTGCATGCTACACCCACAAATGCAAACACTACACCTGCGCAGCATCCATTTCGGCCCTAGCATACCGCAGTACCTAACCTCCACAAACTAAGTCCGCAACCTGCAACGTGCACACACTACACCTGGCACCCTGCATGTCCACGCATTTTGCCACACACCCGCAACCCCGACACAAGCGTGCCCATGTCGCACAGCACACACCACAAAATTGACACATTTGCCACGGCAGCCACCACACAACACTGCACATTATATGCGTACCCCCTGAACTTGCGTACGCTGCATGTAACATGTGCCGTACATAATTGATCCATGTCACATGCAACACCAGATGCAACCGCAGGATACATAGGTACACCATGTATTACACAACATGCGCACATATTATGTCAGCTACACACACATACATGCGCAACGTGCACACACCAACACGTCACCCCACCTGTCTTGCCTAGTGCACAGGCCTATGATTCATGCTTCTGTAATTACATTACGTTTTTCTATGTTGTTTTTTGGTTTTTTTTTGGGCTTTTTTTTTTTCCACATATTCACTTATCACAACTATGTCGTTTGCTTTTATTGCTTTTGTGTGTGGCCCACGCGCCCAGCGCCAATCACACCGCGTTGTTCCACATGAACATAGAACACAGAAAAACCACATACCTGCCCACACTGTGGCGCTGCACAACACCTCAACAGTCATACTTCTTAATCTCACACACACCTGCGCTCCTAAACACGGTATCTGAGTGTTTATAGCACTCAACACCTGAGGTCCTGAACCCAGCATCCATTATCTTCCACACGCAACACCCACACACGTCATCCATCACAAGTCACACACGTACACGCGCACAACCACCACACCACATCTACAACGCAAACACAAGGAAAAGCACAACCTACAACACACACATCCACACACCCTACAAACTGCACACAGCAACCCACACCACACACACCCTAAACCAATAACCTGCACATACAAACCCGCAACCAACACTCCCAAATCCACACACTACACACCCCCAAAGCGAACGCACTACAACAAACTCCACAATCTATACAACCCCAACGCCCAACCGCTATAACCAAACCCACAAAATACAACGTTCAACCCTACCACCTCAAGCCACAAACCCTAATCCCTAGGCCCTAACCAGAAAACACTTTAGAAGCTAGTCACCAACAGGCCCTATGATGCTTCTCAAACACCGGTATTTCCCCATATAAAAACACCATACATCCTAAGGTCATCCAGACACCCTAGGCCATGTTCTCAACACACCTTACGCCTAAGATTAAACACCACAACCTACGTCCTGATGTCAACAACACGTCCTACGTCCAAATGTCAACACACCCCCCTAGGCCATAAGCTCCAAACACCGTAGCTCATAAGCTCCAAACACCGTAGCTCATCAGCTCCAAAAAGCCCTAGACCCGCAGGTCACACAACCTAGGTCATAAGCTCAAACACACACAGGTCCTGCTCAAACAAATGTAGGCTCCATCTCAAAAAAAAAATATAAGACATCATCTAACAAAAATCCTAGTGCCTGATCTCAACAAACAACCTGCCTCCTAATGTAAAAAACAACCGTAGGTCCTAATGCAAAAAAACAACCCGCGGTCATAATCTCAAAAAACACTAAGTTATAAGATCAAACACACCCTAGATCCTAAGGTCACAACAAACTTATATCATAAGCTCATAAACACAGCCAGGTCCTCATGTAACAAAAAACACGCTACGTGCTAATGCACAAAAAAAAACCTACGCTCCAAGCTTAAAAACAAAGCCTAGTTCCTAAGCTCCAAAAAAAACAACTAGGCCTTGGGCTCAACAGGCCCTATAACGTAACTTCAAAAAATCCTGGGCCCTAACACTACAACCTAAATTCCTAAGTTAAAAAGGTCCCAGCTCAACCCTAGAACCTTAAGTCCTAAGTTAACAACACCTTAGACCCAACCCTAGAACCTTAGCTCTGAAACTCAAAAAATGCTAGCCCCTAAGTTCACAAAACCTTAGTTCCAAATATCAACATACCCCAGGTCCGAACCTCAACATAAACCCTAGGTCTTAGGCTCATTACAGCCTTAGATCATATGTTGACAACCTTATTTCTTAACCTAGGCGCACTTGACCCTATACCCGGAACCTAGTATCCTAAGCTACGGAAAACGTAGTATGTTAAAGCCGGAACCTAATATCTTAACCTAGCAAAACCTAATATCCTAAAATCGCAATATGGAGCCCTATTTCCTCTGAGAAAGTGGCAACCCTCTGTGAAGAATTCCAAACGCAGAACAACTGCAGCAGGCGTATCCCTCGGGACTACGGCGCCCGCACGGCTTGGACGCACTAGCCGCGCTAACGCGGCTCCAGTGTACGCACCCGGAGACATTGTCTGTCCGGGCACACGCGGCAGCGCAGAAGCACACGAGTGCAACACCGATTCGCCGCACTGGCCCAGGGTAAGTACCCGGACAGGTTGTCTCTCCGAGCAAGCGCCACGACCAACGCGGCCCGGTAAAGGCGATTGTCGAAGACGTGGCCGAGTGTAAGAAAGGAGGGAGAAATTGTCTCTCCGAGCAAACGCGGCTGGGTAAGCCGCATTAGACGAAGTAGCCGATTGTAAGAACGAGCAGCATTGTCTCTCCGAGTAAACGCGTCGACCACCGCGGCCGAGTGTAAGACCGATTCGACGAAGTGGCAAAGTGCAAGACCGATTCGACGAAGTAGCCGCGTGTAAAACAGGAGGGAGAGATTGTCTCTCCTAGCAAGGGGTCCCAAAAAACGGATTCGAGTGAGGGAGCAGAGAGCGGGGGACGCGTAGCACGGAACACACATATTATGTGGGAGGGCGAACAGCGTCGCCAACAACGGCAGCCACGACGGCGGGAAACACGGCAGAAGAATTGATGTTGTTGTTGTGCGTGTTAGTGTACAAGGGGTTTAGCGGTACGCACACAGAGACAGTGTATGTGACAGGCGTTTAGTGGAGCAGGGGTGTTGTTGTTAAGGCGGGTATTAATTTTTACGGGGAGTACTGTGGTTAATGATTTTAATGCAGAAGGAGGACAGTATTTTAAGTATGCAGGACTACAAGTTCCAAATATAGGAATGTGATTCCTAACTATAATGTTCAATTAATGTGGACTTTGCATAAGTATCAAGGACAGTGGCATCCTATATAAGGGCAATAAGAAAGGAGGAGCCATGTGGAACTATTTGACAGTATTATGGGAGGATTATATTGAGACGGGGAATACGGGGGTCAAGGAGACTCAGGACTTTAGAGTAAGTTCACGCTGGTACAGCAATAGGGGAACGCCGGAATAGTGTTATTCGGTTGTAGTGAAGTATAGTTGATGCGTGCGTTCAGGCACACGCATATATATTCATGTAATGGGCTACTATAATTTTCTGCAACCGGGGGCAATATATATAGGGCGGCACCACAGTTACACATGGACTTGTATGGAACGCAACAGATAGAAGGAAGTTTGCAATTTATATATTGATATATAATGAATGTTATATTTGTAGGACCTTTTTTGGCAACATGTACACACCACGTGGACAGAACTTAAGGCATATATGGACCAGCATGACGCTGGAACAGTACACATGATGTGTGAAGCCGCACAGGCAGGGCAGGAAGCGGACGGACACATATGGACTGCTGCAGACATGGGTATATGCGAGTTAACACTTACAGCATTACATTTTAAACATGGAATTCAATTAGACGGAACCCCTATGAGCCAAGAGGGCATGGACGAACACAAGAAGAAAATACACAACTATATGCGATGTATTTTAGTAAATATATTTATGAAGAACATAATGGGCATGAAATGCTTACAGGGACGTGGTGGTCAGTTTGCATTCGGTTTGGCGAAAGGCCTAATAAACGATGTCCAGGAGGCAGATGTGGGCAATATTGCTTGTGAACAGCACGATGCTGGAAAGGGCGGAGACGCACAGGGAAAAAGTGCAAAGGATAGGGATTTGTGGGATATAATGCAAAGATGGAATGACAGGAATAAGATGAAAATAGGACATGGGGATATAGGAGTATTAGGGAAGGATTGTAAAGTCGACAGAACAGGACAAGCGGGAGTGAATGATTTGAAGAAGACAGTGAAGGAGGCAGTGGGAAAGGTGGGGAAGGAGATCGAAGAAAAGGTGGATACAATAACAGGCACAATGGGAGAGTGTACTGGTCAGGGTCCCCAATGTCTAAAGAAATTATTACAGGACGAAAAAAGGAAAGAGCAGCATCAGCAGAAAGCGAAAGATCAACAGGAACAACGTGCTCCAGCACCCAGACCACCCAGACCACCACGGCTATCAAGACCAGCAGAGGAAGCAAAGTCATCACCAGGACGAGGGCGCACAGGGTCATCCCCCGTCGACCAACCGGGTGCGAACGCCGCCAAAGCAGCACCAGCCACGCCGCCCGGCAAAGGCGGACACGAAGTCGCGCCGAAACCGGTGGAACCGAAACCGTTACCAAAAACACGTCCAAGCCCGAGCAAAGGAGAGGATTGTCCATGGAAGAGCATATTGGAAGAGAAGAGGAAAGTTGTGCATGTGCTGGGTCCTCGTAGTGTAAGTTAAAGCACACAGAGAAACGAAAAAAGCAGGATAGATATACATAGTGCAAGGACAACTTATTCATACGGTATATACATACATGAGAGTACGCGTGCATGCAAAGGGAAGAGTGCACGTGAAATATGAACATGGGTATTTTTCTATTTCCATGTGCATAAAACAGAAGGATGAACTGGAAATAATGAAAAAAGTGTTGCATGATTTTATTGATCATATGGAGAAGCACGAGAAGGACATGGATGCCATAGGGGCGAATTGTGATAATAGCGGTTGGAATGATATAGACAAGGAGAACGTCTATTACAAGGATCAAACAGTAGCTGACATGATGAGGTGTCGACTCATGTCGGGTGCATTATTCTTCGCGAACCAGGACGGACCGGCAGGAAAACATAAAGCATTGTACGAGAGGCTACGATGTGAAGTTGTAAATGCATTTGGGCATGCACTGGAAAGAAAATATTGTGAACATAAGACCAAATGGAAAAGGGGTGTAAAGTATGCCTGGAAAACAGTGACAGCGATGGGGGGACCAGGTGGGGTCACATCCGGTGGTCCCGTCATGCAGGACATATACACAGAATGCGGATATAATATTCAGGGCGCAATAGTGAGAGTAGTAAACGGAGACATGGCAAACTTGTTAATACACGAAGGAAAAATAATGGACACAATTGGAGAACTACAAAGGGAGGTAGAGTGTAGTCAGGATTGGCAGGAGTATAAAGCAGGGAAGGATAGGAAAGATGGCAGCGGAAAAGTGGACGAAGAGCAAATCCCAGAAGTAAAGCAAATGGAAAAGGACATAGTAGAGAAAACGCAGGCGGCAATTCAGGAAGTGACAGCAAAAATAGACGAAGAAATTGAAAAAAAGAAAAGTGAACAAGATAAAGGTAAAGATACGAATACGACACGTAACACTACGCATACACGGACGCATACGAATCATACGGCCACTACTCATACTGCCGAATCTGGATGCCGCAACAAAATGCACGCGGCGGGAACGCAACGCACACGGCAGCCACAACAACACAGCAAACGACTTCGTTGACGTTGAGCGTCGCCGGTCACGATGGTCGTGGTAGCGACCGCCGCCGGGACATGACGGCAACATACATGTACTGCTACCGTCTACCGCAGTTCACCGAGTACGCAGTCCACCGATTGCACCTCGACCCACTGCATCGACACACTCTATGGAGCCGGACCCACACCCTGCCGCTACCTGACCGCACAGTCCCGTCTCTCTAACGCCGTCCCGGCCTCTTCTTTCTGTCTACCACTTGTGTCCTTTTTGTATCATGTTGTCGTTTTACGTCCTTGCTTTATTTGCAGCGGCGACAGAGAAGAAGACAGACAAGGACGCCTCGTCGAAAACATCAGGAACAGAAAAAGGAAGTGAGTTGTCACAGGGGCCAAAGGGCACAGAGGCACCATCATCCTCACCAACGCAGCCATGGTCGTCACCAGGGTCCCCAACAACAGTACTTCGGTCAGACGACACGACGGGTGAACCCACCCGACCCCCAGCATCCGTCGGACCCCAGGCAGAACCATCATTACCACAATCACCACCTGTTCCTCAGTCACCGTCAGCATCAGGAAAAGCTGAGACCAGTGAACCAGGTAAGAGAGGAAAGTGTGAAGAGTTCGGGAACGACTACGACAAAATTACCGCATGCCTAGAGGATCAGGACCAACCTACGGGTCCTAACCCTGTCACTAAGTTGGAGGACGAGTATGACTCCGGGAAGTGGGGTCTCTACGGTAGTACGGGTTCAACAACAATATCCATAGGCACTTCCACAACTACACAGAATGTACCAACAGGTACGAATAATGAATAGTCGGACACGGACAACAGGAAACAAAAAACAAAAACAAAAAAACACAAAAAAACAGAAACAACATTTCCGGAGAGAGAGGGAGAGACACCACGGAGAGAGAGAAACCAAACGTCGAATGAGAATGAGGAGCGGCAGCGCGATCGGCCGAGCGACGAGGCGACAGCCGCTGGATGTAGACAGCTAGACGTCGCAGCAGACAGACAGACACACACACACTGCGTGTGTTGTGTGTTGTGCGGGAGACAGAGAGAGAGTCCTTTCCCGGGGTGCCACCGTCCCCATGCTCCCGTCCCCGTGGCACCATGGTCAACCCGTGAAACGACGGCAACGAACCGTGTAGCCGGTCTACCGTGCAATCCATCATGCGGTCAACGGACCGTGGTCGATCCACGTGTAGCCCACCGTGGTCATAACCGTGTAGCCGACCATGTGGTCAACCGTGGCCATCCATCTGAAACATAACTCCAGTTTCTTTCACATTGTTCTTTTCCTTCTCACTTAAACTTATAGGTGATACTACAGCAACGGATACGGAGCACAGACACCGTGCGCGATCAGGAACGGTGACAGCAGCAGCGGCGCCGCAGGATCCAGCGGCCGCACGACCGGTAGATCCAGGAACAGGGGGTCCAGCCGCATCCGTAGAACCGACAACAGAACCAGGTGCAACAGTAACAGATGTAACATCAACAGAAGTAAGCACACAACCCGACGCAAAGGGCGGAGGAGAAGAGACAGGGGGAATACCTGGAACACAGGCACCCGAGAAAGGGTCTGCCCAAGCAAGTGCCTCTCCGGTTGTCCCAGCACATGTACACAACATTCCACCCCCACAAGCGGATACAGGCTGGGGGGGCTTTTACCCATGGGATACAACAGACGAAGGCGTGAAACCGAAAACACAGGATGCGGCTACTTCCCGTTACTCCTCATACAGCCTATCTTCCTTTGGTTGCACTGATGCTCCTGATTCTGACGGATACACATCATGTGATCTTAGGATATCCTTTGACAACTCACAGGGCACACGGAACCCCGGAGGATCCTTTGTACCACCTGCCGGACAAGATGCCACACTGAATGATGAAAATAAAAACTTAATGAATGACCCACCTCAGCATGGCGGCTCTACTCCCCCAGAACTAACGAACACCGTCCTCACCGCCACTACTCCCGTGGTGTTTTTTCTCACTTCCGTCACCGTTGCCCATCTGGGTTATTCCCTATGGAAGGTAAGTATACACGACAATCACGGAATCCCGCACGTGCAGGATGTTTATACCTCAGAACATCCCAACCGGCTCCAATATATGATGTTTCTAACCAATATACTCCTACACCCGGGTTCATTCCTTTTATCCTACCGTCCTCACCCTGCTCTTTACCCCCCTTTTTCTGTTTAGTACTTTGCGTACCTCGGAAAAAAACGACGACGAACGTATCGCACCGTGCGTGACGTGCCATCACCGCCACTCGACGAAGAAATTCTAGACCATTTACAACGCGACGCTCCACCACCACCCGCTTACGGGTACACGATGGTTACGCAACCTGCGTCAACATGCGGTAGAGGACGCCCACCACGCGTAAATCGCCGCACGATCATCGAACTACACTTAGAAGTGCTCAACGAACGTGAATCAGCCGAATGGGACAACGTCAAAGACGACTATTTGCAGATTGTCGTGCAGGAGTTTGCACAGGAGTTTGCGCAGGATTTGATGCGGGACAAGGACACGAATAACAACATCTTGGGTGTGCCTACCTCAAAACAGGGTTTATCAGGGAACCATGTTTCCTTCACCATGGATCCACCCACTGACACCGCTGTAACGGATCGTTGTCGCCCTAACGCAGATGACCCCGATCCATGGACTTGCATGGAAACTGCACCGTTAGAAACGGACACTTCTCCACGAAATGCACACAACCCCGATCCATGGAGTCGTATGGAAACTATACAGTTACCCACGGACCCTTGTCCACCGAATGAAGCGGACCCCGATCCATGGAGTATTATGGAACACATACAGTTCGCAGCGGACCCTTGTCCACCGAATGAGGACGACCCCGATCCATGGAGTTGTATGGAAACTATACAGTTAGCCACGGACCCTTGTGCACCGCATGCACACGACCCCGATCCATGGAGTTGTATGGAAACCATACAGTTAGATACACAACGCGACCCGTACTCCTCCCCGCGCACTGAATGCGCGACGTCGGAGTGCACCCACTGGATCCCTTGGATTGACCGCAACAAGCATCTATTGCAGGACTGCATGACGCAGCCGTGGTTTCTGCAATTAAAAGCGGATTGGAAACAATATTATCAACAACATGCGACAGACGACGTATCCGGCAATAGTGAACACTGTGAGCACGGTAATATCCAATCCGCAGACATGACGAAACTGCGGTTGTGGAAAGAATGGGTAGCGCAACAACATCGGCAAATGAGTATGTATAAGGCGGAGTGGTTCCAGCATTTGTTGAATAATGTAGGGGAGGAGCAAACACAAGAGAAGGGGTCCCAGCGGGAACAAACTTTGCACGTAAGCAACATCCCAACAGCACAGGAAAGAGCAACCCACGCAGCAGCAGAACCGCTGGCCCCTGAAAATATACCGTTAACAAAGGTAAAAGAACCAGAACAGCAGCACGACCACCATCCGCAATTGCGACATACGGAGCAATTAACCGCTCACAAACTGTGGATGCTACTGCTCGCGTTCGTAATCGAAGAATGCGAGCTCGAACGCAGTTTGCAGGAGAAGGAGTTACATGTGGATGAACTATTGGAGCGACTGTGACATTCGGATGACGGGGAATATGAATGGGAAATAACGCATGCTGCCCGTACACAACTTTTACTTCATTATGTGATATACATATTATATTTCTGGTTTACATTCTTCCATACCTTCTTTTTTTTTTTTCTGCTCTGTTCTGCTGACTTGTGCTTACTTTTGCCCTGTTTTGTTCTTTTTCTGTGTAGTCCACTTCTTTTAACATGACCATAGGAACAGGTGGCAACCGGTTAAATGCATATAAAATGTAGATTTAAATGAATACTATGAAGCGGTAGTATTCTCCTTTATGTGAAATTAATTATTAACACATGAGCACGCGCATTCTAAGGGTATAGTGCAGAACAAATATAGAACGCGAATAAGCATTCGCGTATAAGGAGCGCTTGTCTCTCCGAGCAAACGCGTCGACCAAAGCGGCCGAGTAAGCACGGCTATTGTCTCCGAGCAAACGCGGCCAAGTGCAAGACCGATTCGACGAAGTGGCCGAGTGTAAGAAGGTACACATTGTTTCTCCGAGCAAACGCCGCTGCGTATAACACGGATTCGACGAAGTAGCCGAGTGTAAGAACGATTCGACGAAGTAGCCGAGTAAGCATTGTGCCGAGTGCAAGAAGGAGGAGAGATTGTCTCTCCGAGCACACGTGGCCGCGTACACCGCATTGTCGTCGCGTGTAAGAACAAGGGGCTTGTTTCTCCGAGCAACGTTGCCTGGTAAGCAGCATTGTCGACGAGGCAGCCGAGTGTAAGAAGGAGGAGAGATTGTCTCTCCGAGCAAACGCGTCGACAAACGCGGCCAAGTGTAAAACGGATTCGACGAAGTAGCCGAGTGTAACAAAGGAGCAGAGATTGTCTCTCCGAGCAAACGCGTAGACCAACGCGGCCGGTCCGGGTAAGACCGATTCGACCAAGTAGCCGAGTGTAAGAAAGGAGGGAGAGATTGTCTCTCCGAGCAAACGTGGCCGGCTTCGCACGCAGTATGCGAGTGCAACACCGATTCGACGAAGTAGCCGAGTGTAACCACGATTCGACGAAGTAGCCGCGTAAAGCAGATTGTCCGAGTGTAAGAAGCAGGAGAGATTGTCTCAGAGTAATTGCTTTGAGTGCACGATCCGCGGACGCAGCCTCGCACGGATCCAGACAGTGGGCGCAGGCAGGAACACACATATTATGTGCGGCAGCAAGAAGGAGGCCAGCAAGGCGACAACGACGGTAGCACGAAGAAGGACGAATTGATGTTGTTGTTATACTGCGCTTTATTGTAGACCCGTGATGAAAGGCGTATTCATGACGCGTTGTGTGTGTACGGTAGTGTCGTGTACTTTTTCAATTTTTTTCTTGCCCTTTTTTTTTTTTTTTCATTATTTTTTTATTCTTCTTGTTCTTTTTTTTACATTTTTTTGTTGTTGCCCTTTTTTGTTTCCTGTTTCGCAATTATTAATGAAGCATACACTTCTTCTACAGCGATTAGTTCACGACTATGTTTTATTAATGTGAACACAGCCACTACTGTGACGAGCCAGGGGCAGTTGTGCACACATGTAGGAACCATGAGGCAGTGTAGTATGTTCTACAACACTTGAATATACACATTTACAGTAATACAAGCACCATGGCCGCGGCCTTAGGGAAGCTATTGGTGTATTATACTACGAAAAGGGGGATAAGGGCAGATGAGCAACAGGGCGACACTCGGCCGGGCAGCTTAAGCGTAAGTTAAGTACCGTAAGGGCAGAATGGGAGCGACTTGTAAATTTACACACATTTACAGTAGCGGAATATAGGCCTTGAAGTGATCATGACACAACCACAATTATGTATACATCTACGTATTTTTTACGTGTTTGTTGTAGGAAATATTTTGGGGGGACGTTAACAGAGTATATGACGAGTTGTTGGATGCAATGGCGGAAACAAGGAATGATATAGAGGCCTTGTGCTCATCTAGCGCGCTGCCTGAGCACATGTTGACACTACGATCGGAGGCTTCATCCTTATGCGAGGACATCATGAAACTTTATTATTTTATGGATGGTATTTGCACAGCGGCCGGAACGTCTTCGCATGTAACTCAGTCTGAGGACCCGATACACCCATTCATGAGGTGTATGGTAGGATACGTAATTTTAGCCAAAAAATTTGCACGGCTGTGTGACTTCAACACCTTAGTGCCCTATGTACGTAACGCAACAGAAGGTATCATGCCCCTGGCCAACGTGGACACCAGTAATAGTGCATGCAACGGATTGGACCTTGCTTCATTAAAAATAGGGCACAAATTGGTAGGAGCGACCATTAAGGAATGGATACACCACGACAGTACTAGGTGGGACGAAATCATGGACGATTATATCACTGAAACTTGTGAAGACCACAACACAATTGCCGCAGGAAGCAATAGCGGGCAGGATACACACGAAGAGACAAAGCCACAGGGTGCACAACGGCCAATTAGTCCGCACGACATAACACAGTTAGCGAGTAGTACGGATGAGTTGTCACCGGAGGACGCGCAGACAGTTTTGACCGAGATACAGGGACTGAATGATACGGATACTATAATGAGGAAGTTCAAAGCAGCAATTGCAGAAGTGCCGTCCCACAGGAGCAACCATGTGGCGCAAGCAGGCGCAGGAACACCAAAGGCACCACCAGCCACAGGAGGCACAGCCGGGGAAGGACAAGGATCAGATCAGGGACCAGGACCTGGACAACAACCACCACCACCTCCACCACCAGAACCACCACAGTCACAGGACCCTGCAGGAAAGGAACAGAGCACATCTAATGACCAGAAGGCTAATGACGCAGGTGAGTATACTTGCCCGGACGATAAGCCAAAGAATCCGGACGCCGCCATAGAGTCACATGCAGGTTCACGTGTGAGCATTACCAAAGGCCACTATACCCCTGACGGTCAACCGTCATGTGAAAAGATTAAGGAACTTCTGCGCACTCCGAACAGTCCGGCAACTAATTCTAACCCTACGGACAACAAGAGTAATAGGAGCCAAGAGTTCGCGTCATCTCGCACTCATGCTTGAGGCGCGAGCACAAAAGTGTTCACCAGAGTTTACATAGAGGCGACCTGTGCACAAGTGTGAAAACGAACGAGCAAAACAACAACAAAGAAACAACTTTTCCGGAGACAGCGGGAGAGACAACACGGAGAGAGAGGGAGAGACAACACGGACAGGGAGAAACCAAACGTCGAATGAGACTGACCGGCACAGCGTGCCGGGGCAAGCCAGGCGAGCGAGTAAGCCGCCGCGGGATGTAGACGTCGACAGACAGCCAGACAGACACACACACTGTGTGTGTTGTATGTTGTGTGGGAGACAGAGAGAGAGTCTGTTCCCGGGTGGTACCCTGCCCCCGTGCTCCCATCCCCGTCCGTCTCCTGCCATCCGACGCCTGGCTCCATCCCCGTGGCACCATGTGGCCGAGCGTTATACCTGTCCAACGATAGGTTGAAACCGTGTGGTCAGCCGTCCATCCAGTCAAAGTGCAGTTTCATCATCGTGCACTTTTCCCTCTACCTCCATGTTCAGATAAGAAGCCTGCACCGACGACTATAGAAGATACTAAGGATAAATCAGCGGAAGGATCAACAGCAGAACCCGAACAGGGACCAGAAGTCAGCGTAACCTCATCAGGGTCCGATACAGGACATCAACCCGCAACACCCACAGAAATATCGAAGGCGACAGAAACTCCTGATGCACAGGACACTACCCCTGCAGCCACTAAGGACACTAATGCAAATGAAGGAGGACATGGTCCTGATCAGCAGACAGATGACAAGGTTACAACTAAACCCTCCGATACTGCAGTACTGTATTCCGTCGGTGACTTCTGGGATTCTGTTAGTGGTGTCACCCCCCCTGATGGCGCAGAACCTGATACTGCTCCAGGTTCCCAGGTTTCCTCCTCTACTTCCCATAAGGATAAGCACAACACTTCCAGCATTATACATGCAGGTGGAGGCCTTGGGTTCACATTAGATATGCCAACGCTCGGTACTGGTTTAGGGGGACATTATGGAACAGGCCATAGACCGAGCCTAGAAGTTCAGGCCTCCGATAATTCCGGGGGGCCCGGGGACTACGCTGTTCCGGACCTAACCGACACCGTCCTTACCGCCACTACTCCCGTACTCTTCTTCCTGTCCGCCGTCACCGTCGCCCTCCTTGGTTATTCCCTATGGAAGGTAAGTATATACGTAACACCGTGTATGAGTATCCGTCATATGTACCATAACAGTGTGTTTCTAAGAGCGCGTTTGTATCATTATTCTAACACAAATGAATTCACCTCATCCGCCCTTTTTTCTTTGTCTTTTTTTTTGCTTAGTATTTTGCGTACGGCGCTAAACCACGATGAACGTTTCGCACCGTTCGTGACGTGCCGTCACCGCCACTCGACGAAGAAATATTGCAGCATCTACAACGAGGCGACCTGCCGCCACGCGATTACGGCTACACGATGATTAGGCATAGGCGGCCCGGAAGATTGCCCGCCGCACGCCGCGGACCACGCGCCCCACGCGTGAATCGCCGCACGATCATCGAGCTACATCTAGAAGTGCTCAACGAATGTGAAGCGACCGAGTGGGAACACGTCAAAGACGACTATTGGCAGATTGTCGTGCAGGCGTTTGCGCAGGATTTGCTGCGGGACGACGACACGACTAACAGTATCTTGGGTGTTTCTACGTCACACCAGGCTTTATCAGGGCACAATGTTTCATCCACCCTCGATCCACCCACTGACTCCGCCGGCACAGATCCATGTCCACCGAATGCACATGACTCCGATCCATGGCGTTGTATGGAATCCATACAGTTAGCAACGGACACTTCTGCATCTAACGAAGATGATCCATGGAATTGTATGGAACACATACAGTTAGCAACGGACCCTTGTCCACCACATGACCCCGATCCATGGAGTTGTATGGAACACGTACAGTCCGCAACGGACCCTTGTGCACCGCATGAACACGACCCCGATCCATGGCGTTGTATGGAAACCATACAGTTAGAAACGGGCCCTTGTCCACCTAATGACTGCGCTTCATGCAGTTGTATGGAACACGTACAGTCCGCAACGGACCCATGTCCACCTAACACAGACGACCCCGATGCATGGAGTTGTATGGAAACCATACAGTTAGAACAACAAGAGACTCCTTCTTCCCCTCCATCCCCTTACCCGGGGAATGAAAAACGGGCCCCCGACCACACTAATTGGATTAACTGGATTCACCGCAACAAACATATTCTGCGGGCGTGCACGACGCAGCCGTGGTTTCTGCAATTAACAGCGGATTGGAAACAATACCTGCGCGAGCACATGTCGGCAAACGCGGCTAACGCAGTATCCGGGCGGCGTGACTTCGGTGCAGCCGCAACCATGGACAGCAAGAAGCACGCATGGAAAGAATGCGTTGCAACACAACATGACCTTATGAATACATATAGTGAGGAGGAGTGGTTTCAACATTTGTTGAATAATGTAGAGGAGGACACGGTTACGGCAACAGGCGACATACCTGGCGTGGGAAACGACTTAGAAGTGGACAAAGTAACGGCAGCAGCAAATATGCTACGAGTGAGCGATGTACCACGCCGGCAACTGCTGCAGCAGCCAGCTCATATGACAAAACCGTTAACCGCTCAAACATGGATACTGATCCTCGCATTAGTCATAGAACAGTGCGAGGTTGACAGCCGTTTGCAGCAGACGGAGTTATATGTAGATGATCTATTGCAGCAACTGTGACATTCGGATGACGGGGCATATGAATGGAAAATAACGCATGCTACTCGTACACCACTTTTATTTCATTATGTGATATACATCATATATTCCTTGTTTGCACTATTCCATACCTTCTTTTTTTTTTTT